AAAAAAAAAAAAAAAATGTAAAAACCATTCAAAAACAGGTGGCAGGTTGGCTTTGGCCTGCTGGCTGTACTCTACACACTACAAGAGCATCACAAGAGAGGTTGTGACTCCAGTATCAGACTACATGGGTTCAAATCCTAGATCTCCCATTCGCCAGCAGTGTGACCACAGGCAACTGATTTCATCTCTCTGAGCTTCAGTTTCCCATTTATAAAGTGGGTTTAATAATAGGATGGTCATAAGGATTAAATAAGATGATAATAGTTGACACTTGTTTTTTTTGAGACAAGTTCTCGCTCTGTTGCGTGGGCTACAGTGCAGTGGCTCACATAGCTCACTGCATCCTTAAATGCCTGGGTTCAAGCAATCCTCCTGCCTCAGCCTCTGGAGTGGCTGGGACTACAGGTGCATGCCACCACGCCCAGCTAAGTTTTCTGTTTTTTGTAGAGATGGGATCTTGCTATGCTGCTCACTGCTGTGAAGTGTCAGGCACTGCTCTAAAAGCTAGGGACATAATGAGGATCGCCACAGAGAAAAAGCCCTTGCCATCAAAGAGCTAAAATCCAAGTGAGGAAGACAGATGGAGAATAGATAAGCAAGTATATGTGGTGATGCGGTATTATAGAAGAATAAAGCAGGACATGCGGATTGAGTTTGGAGTGCAGTTCAGGTTAGGAAGTTCGGGGAGGGTCTGAGAAGGTGCCATGTGGGCAGAGAGTGGAAGGAGGTGAGGGATCCGCGTGGATACCTGGGGAAGTGTGTTCAAGGCACAGGGAAGAGCAAGTGCAAAGGCCCTGAGGTGAGAGCATGTCATGTTTGAGGAACATCAAGGAAGCTGGAGTGGAGTGACTGATAGGGAAGGGGTGGGAATGAGGCCAGAGTGATGGATCTATAAATGAGGACATTGAGTAATGTTAAATTTAATGAATGAAGCAAACCACATATGTAGCACTTAGGCTAGAACTTGGCTTGCAATAAGGAGTGACAAACAGTGGCTCCTGTTATAGGACCGGAAGCCCACCTGATCCCCCTCTGCCCCTTGCAAATGGCAGGCCTCAAAAATGTTTGCTGAGTGAATAACTAAAAGGACACATCAGATATCCTCAGCGCTCAGACTTCTGCTGGGCTGTCAACCCCATGAGGGCAGGCTTGGGACTGCCTTGGTCCCAGCTGCATACACAGAACCCACTGGCACACGGCTACCCCCAGGGGAAGGGTCATTTGTTGAGTGCACGTCAGTCTCTCTCCACTGGTTTCCCACGAAGGTCCACATTTCTGGATGTGTCTGTGTGTCCGTGAAAGTGACTGTCGGGATTGTTCAAACACACACTCAGCAAACGGTCCTGGAGCACCTCCTCTGCACTCAGCCCTGTGCCGGGGACACGGCAGTGACCAAGACAGCCTTGGTTATGTCCTCATGGGTCTCTGTCCAATGGAGACTGACCTGTCCCCAGTGATGACTCAAGAGTGGGCAGGGGGGAGGGGGGAGGAGGGAGGAGGGAGGAGGGGACAGGTATATGCATACACAGAGTGCAATGCGCACCACCCGAAGAATGGACGTATTTGAAACTCAGACTTGGGGGGGGCAAGGACAACATATGTAACCTAAACATCTGTACTCCCGTAATATGCTGAAATTAAAAAAAAAAAAAAGAATGGGCAGGGCTGCTATGAGAGGCCAGAGGACTTGGGGGTGAAGGAGGGCTTCCTAGAGGAGGGACACACGGGGACAGGTAAAGAGGGGCTGTGTGCCTGGGGCACGTGGCAGATGGAGGGAACAGCATGGTCTCCAACCAGGACGTAAAAAAATCACAGCAAGTTAGAGCGAGGGAGACCAGGCTGGCTGCTGGGGTTAGGAAGCCTCCCCTCCAGGTCCCGCTACCCAGTTAGCAGCCGGGGGGCTCTTCTCCCAAGGGCACTGGGGAGCCACGGGAGGTTCTGAGCAGGGGCCAGGTAAGGTCAGGCTTGTGCTCTAGAAAGTTCCTTCTAGCTGCTGGGTGGAGGGTGAGTGGGAGGTGGGAAGGGCAGGGCTGGGACAGGAGACCAGGGAGGACACTGGGTGGGGACCCCAAAGGGTGAGAAAGGGCCCGGATCAGGTGGTCCCAGTGGAAGTGAAGAGCTGAGACTCTGAAGCAATTGCGGGGTGCAGCTGATGGGTCTTGCCAAAGGCTTGGGCGTGGGGCTGTGGGAGGAGGAGCTAGGGTGATGAGGTTAGTGAGTCAAGGTGATGCCCCCTGAGGGTCTGCCTACCCCTGCCCAACCTGGGTTCCTAGGAGCCCATCAGAGAAGCGACGGTGCAGAGCCTGGGGTTTCTCCAAGGGCACTAGGGAGCCATGGAATGATATAGAGCAGGAGGGGGAATGGAGCAGATCCTGAGGGACGGGAGGAGACTGCAGTACCCTGTTTGTGTATGTGTCGTGTGGGGCCCTGTGCACCCCAGCATTTCCCCGGCACCTCATGGATCCCCTGCCCAGCCCTGCAGGGCGGACAGCAGGTGGGGCTGAAGGAACCTGGCACAGTCCTCAGCCCCAGGCCTTCCCTCCCTGCAGTGATGAGACCATGACCCCAAAAAGAAAATCCGGGGATGTGAGGTCCCCACCCCTAGGATGACAGAGAAGCTCAGAGGCCTCAGTCAGCTCACCTACAAAGTGGGTGAACGGTCCCAGCACCCAGGGCCCGGGCTGGGGAGGCGCACGTGCCACGTACCGAGAGCTTGGCTGGGTCCTCGGCACAGGCAGCCCTGGGGATGCTGATGACACCCCAACGGCCACGGAGCACCACGGCCAGGCGCCACTCGGGCACTTTAAGGCTTCACCCCGCACCCCCTGCAGCCCTGGGGGCGAGTGGGTGTAAGGCCAGGAAGGCGAAGGCTCACGTCCAGGGAGCTTGGCTGCCCACTGAGGACGCCTTCGGGAAGGGTGGTGGGCGCCTCTGCTCGGGGGCCAGGCCTGGCTGTGAACATGCCCGGCTGCGGTGCCAGCCGGGGGACATGCGGCCGGCACACAGAGGCTCTGAGCCTCCGCCGGCCAGCCCGGGCCAGCGAGCTCGGCGCAAGCCGCTTCCCCAGGCATCTGAGAAATG